CAGGAAACTAAAAATGTTGCTATAATCAATCATTGAAATGTATTTAAAATAAAATCAAATAATACAATTAATTAAAAAGGGAAATATTAAAAACTAAATGTAAATATTATTTATACAATATGTGTGTGTGTGTGTGTGTGTGTGTGTGTGTGTGTGTCGATAGATAGACAGACAGACAGACAGATAGATATTAATAAGAACAATTTTCAAGAAGGGGACCAGGAAGACCAAACTCAGTAATGTAAGCTATAAAGTTTTCCATACTAAGTAAAGCAAAACATTTCACAAGTTTAAACAAATGTGAGCGTATCACTAGTTTGTGCGTGTCGCAGAAGATAAGACGCATCCTTGTCTCAAGAATGCACTCCGTTTTTAAGTCAACAAGCAAACGTCCTGATCCGGAACCACGTTGATAACCATTTGTTCAGATTAACTTCATTTGAAATAAGGGAAAGAAACCTGCTTTACTGCGCTGACCTGAAACCTGACCCAGTAATGTGGGTGACATTAGCAAAGGCTGCAGGCTCGACCGAGGGACCCTTATTTAGTCTGTTCAGCCCTCTGACAGAAACAACATCAGCAGGATAGTGTTCATCATGTCTCGACCGATGAAGGAATGCCAAATACTGTGATCTGTGAGCGTGGCCTGACCTGAGAGCAGGCACAGGATAACATGGATTCACAAAAGAAAAATTCTCAACACTTGTGACCCTCCGACTAAAACAAGGGGGCAACTTCCTGTTTTGTTCTTTTGACTCTTTAAATTACTTTTAAATGTTACTAGCATCATTAGCATTATTATTTGGTTTGTGACATTGCAATTATTCACATTTTCATAACAATTAAGCAAATGTTCTCTGTAAAATCTAATGTGTCATGTGTCGTTTAATCTTGTGTCTATTTAAGTTAGCTTTTTTATTCTTGTTTATTTTAATTAGCTTTAATTTTATTCTTGTTAATTTTTCACTGTTACACTAAAAAAACAAATCCCATTTAAATCAGCATAAATTAAAGGTATCACAACAAATAAAACCATGATGTATAAATTCACTGCATAAATTTACATAATTTGTATTGTAATGAGTTGTATTTGTTTATTTTTTTCATTCATTTAATTAATTCATTCAATGCATTACAGTAGTATTAAAATTGTGTTAAATACCTGCTTAATTATTGTCTTACTCTTTCATTTAAAAAACTGTAATACAACCATGATGTATAAATAGATAGCAATTTATAACGTCATTAACTGGCATTAACGTAATATCAACATTTTTGTTTACATTATTGTGATGAGATTTTAAATTATTCAGCTAATTCATTACATTACAGTAGAAGGTACATTTCGGAAATAACTGCTTAATTATCATCTTAATGGTCCCAAAATGGTCTAATTTTTCATACACAAGATTATATTTCTTTTGGGACGAAACATAACCAGGACTTGTTTTGTTCTATTCACCCAATTCTTTCCACAAAATGTTGTGTGCATTGTTGTGAATTTCTATGTTAAAAACAAAATTCCTCAAACACAACGCATCGGAAACCACCCATTTAAAAACAATTAACTTGTTATGTCACATATTCTTCTAAACCACACAGATTAGTTTTTAAATCAAACCCTCCACTATTAATATCAACAGCATATGGGCCATATTGTCTTGCCTCTCAACACAATATAAACTCTCCATTTACAGGAAAAACACATTGGACCCGGTTCAAGCTTTCCAGCAATTCAGGAAGACCAGCGCAGTGTGCACGGGGAGGACAGGGTCTCCTTCTATTGCAAACGCCGATTGTTCTTGAACGTCAAAACAACACGCGCTGGGCCTAGCATGGCCTGGCATTGTAATAACAAACAATCGAAATTCTTCGCTGTGGCGCTGCACACAATCTGAATTGTTTGATGGTGAAAAAGTCGGTGGATCATTGCACAGCCAAGCTGGGTGCACGGATTGGCCTCCGTGACATGAAACCGCAATAACAGGAACCACTAACCGACCTCTGCAGCAGTGCAGATAAGAGTCGTGCTGAATGAAGCCCAGAACGCACCGTTACTGTAATGATAACAACAGAATAGTGACTGGAATGCCAAAGATGCAGGTAATAAAACAAACACAGTCTGACTTCAAATAAAAGGTGGAGAACTGATGGAATGTGATACAAACAAGCCCATAACAGCCATCCCAGCACACCTTTAACTGACTCTGGAATGCCATTAACTATAAGGATGTGTCAGATGAAGTGTTTCTTTTGACAAGCCGAGAAACCACACAAAAGCCCGGGCGAGTGCTGGTAGTTTCCAGTGTAATGGAAAACTCATTTGAGAAACACTTCATAGTTTACTCAGAGTATGTTATGTCTGTTCAACCGTGTGAAAACTCATCATTTCTAAAAAACAAAACAAGATGTGTCAGATAGCATGACCATCATCAATATAGCCTGGCATGTTGATTAATAGTCTAGCTCGTTAAACTAATTGTGTTATGGAATTTAAATGGATTTTACAAAAACAGTGTGAAGTCGCTACTTGATTATGTCATCATGCAACACAAACCACATCAGTTATAGAATGCAACAGTCATTCTCCGGAAGTAAAAACTATATTAATTTTCTCAATAGGAGAAACGAATATAGAATTCGTTTTTGTTGAACTTTTGTTGAATAATTCAAGCATTATTATGGATTATGGACTTGTATTTTGGACAGATGTGACAACTGAAATTAAAACATCTTAATGATGGATTTGTTTCTTACAAACATGCAGCTTTTCGTTTCACTAGATTTTGATTGATGGACTGGAGTGGTGTGGATTACTTGTGGATTATCGTGATGTTGATTATTGTGATGTTTTTACAAGAGAAAACAGTCCAAAACAGTTCTAAACATATATGTCGGTGGATTTTGATGTGAGAGGACAAAATGTGACTTTTTCACTGGAGGAAGTGTTATTATGGATTATGGACTATTTTGGCCAGAAGCTACAGTTTGAAAATGTCTTAATGATTGATTTGTTTCTTACAAACACAGCTTTTCATTTCACTAGATGTTGATTTATGGACTAGAGTCGTGTGGATTACATGTTGATTATTGTGATGTTTTTATCAGCTGCTCTCATTATCAGCTGTTTGGAGCAAGTGATAAGTGCTAAATTTCTCCAAATCTGTATGGACAAACAAACTCATCTACACAGCCACACACACATCTAGACAGCCACAGTCTCATCAAGTTAACATGCGGTTCTGTAATGCGCCTGGTGTAAACACAACAGCATTATTGCCCAGACCTGCATCTCCGAGTGCACAGCCTTGCCCTCTTCACAACTATAGATTAATCACTACAAATACAGACACACAAGAAATCATCCTGTCTTCAGGCGTTGGACGCGTGCCAGTACAGAAACCAGATATAGGGTCAATGGAGAGCCAGTGCCTGAATGGGCCGGGCAGGGCTTGTTTGTGTGAGTTTGTACAATTCTGGTCCACCTTTGTATCTATGGTCTCTGTTCGCCCTTATTTTCACATACATGTTAGCAAACGCATTCGAAAAAGAACAACATTAAGGAGTGGTTGAACTGACAGTTGTGCTGGAACAGGATTTTTAGATAGGGTAGACGACTCAGTAAAATACACAAAACAACTATTCATAAATTACGCTTCATAAATAGATCAATCAATCAAGCTGTCTTTCATAAAAAAATACAAATACAGAGTTCTGGCATGAAACTCTAGATGGCGCAGTCCGATAGGTCTAACTCAGTCTGACCTAATGACATCATTATCACATGGCACAGATGATTGGTTCTCTCCTGTATCGGTAGCCAATGAACTCGCTGCTCAACATTCAAATATATGACTAGTGCTTGCCGTAACAGTTGCAGCTTGCTTCAGAAACCCTCCACCTTCCCCAGCTCCACCTGTATAGATCTGCTACGAGGTGAGTCATGTATGCTATATGGGGGGTTATTTCATGTATGTTATATTTGTTATATACCTCTGTGCATGTTATACACCTCTCTTTATCTCCTTGCACTGGCTACCGGTTGCGGTTCGAATCAAGTTCAAGACATTGATGCTTGCATATAGAACAGCCACAGGCTCAGCACCCGCCTACTTCCACTCACTACTACGAATCTACATCCCCTCCAAAAAAAAATTATATCTCTTTACTTATTCCTTCTCTTTCTAGCTTGTACTTATTTGAACAATGTCTAGAAACTTGGTATTACAAGCACTTCCTGTATCTGTTTGCCTCTTTAAGAAGAATCGCTTTATGTATCCCCCAATTGTAAGTCGCTTTGGATAAAAGTGTCTGCAAAATTACTAAATGTAAATGTAAATGTATTTGCAGCAGCAATATTTCTTACATGCTCACAGCAGCATGTTGTGGATGTATTGGCAGTAGCAAGTCTCAGTACTTGCTCTGACGCAGCAGCAGCAGCGTAGCAGATCTATTCCGCCAAGACCAAATACATTAACATTGTCATGTACATTGCCAAAGATAATTTGGCAAACAAGACAGATAACCAATATTTTTTTTATAATGTGATGATTGTCTATCTACTGTATCTATCTATATATTGTATAAACTATAAAAATTTTACAATACATTGTTTAAATATATATCTATCTACTGTAGAACTAATATAATTTTTTACAATATGATGATTAAATATCTATCTATCTATTTATCTATCTATCAAGAATTCTGTGGTCAACGCATGAAATCTGTGGTACATGTTTAGTGTCATGCCTGTAGCACCAAAGCCATGAAACTGTTCCAAATTTGCTGGAGCACAGCATGACAAATAACAGGAAATCACCCTTCAAATTAGTGGTCTTGCAGAATTAATACCTAAATGCAGGAAAACCAAAGGGTTGAACCAAACTAACACTGTGTTCTCCTCTGACAGAATAACAATGCCCCTGCCTGATGCCCATGTTTGCCTTTCTGTTCTTGGCTGTTTGTGTGATCTACATTTGCCCAGGAAAGCAACTCACTCCATCTTTGATGCTTGTGTCAGCTCTGCTGGCTTCATCTGGGGTGTATTTTTGGGATATGTTGTTGAGGACAGTTTTTCCTGTAATAAGAGAAAGAACAGACTGTGATTGTGATGTTCTGTGCATGTTAAGTAGATTTCCAAACAGGCTGATACAAGTTCAAATGGATCATCTGTCTACTCCACTGATCCCAGACAAACCACAGCTCATTTACAGTCTACTCATGACAGTTAGAGATGGCTGCATGTCTGACATCTGTATGCATACTGTGACCTAAAGTGCATTCTTGTGATTTTTGCTCTTTCTGTTTTAATTGCTTCACAAATTGAGATCATCATCATTATAATGCACGTATTTGACCCATCAAAACAAACAGATCAAGTCAAAAATGACAAAATCTTTAAGATCTTTGAGTACACCAAATTAAAGAAATTTATTTCAGTGGTGCTTTAAAATGATATGCATTTAAAGATCATCTAAAATTATCTAAAAGCATTTTAAAAATTAACATTTGGTAGAAATTCATTCACCCTCAGACCATCCAAGATCTAGAGTTTGCTTCTTCATGGGAACAAATTTGGAGAAATTTAGCATTGAATTTAGCATCACTTGCTCACCAATGGATTCTCTGCAGTGAATGGGTGCCGTCAGAGTTTAAACAGATTTTAAATAATCAACAATCCACAACATGAGTCCACTCGATCAATTAATGTCTTGTGAAGTGACAAATTATGTTTGTAATAACCAAATCCAACATTAAGAGGTTTTTAATTTCAAACCATAACTTCTGGCTAAAAAATGAGTCTTCTATGTTCAATCCTTAATATACTGCTTTCTCCAGGGAAAAAAGTCTCATCTGAATCAGGAGAGAAATCTGCATTGATCAAGCACTGTTTACAAGAGAAAACAGTCCAAAACAGTTCTAAACATATATGTCGGTGTGAGATACATTAATATATTTATATATTATGAGATACATATATATTTTGATGTGAGTGGACAAAATGTGACTTTTTCACTGGAGGAAGTGTTATTATGGATTATGGACTATTTTGGCCAGAAGCTACAGTTTGAAAATGTCTTAATGATTCTTTTGTTTCTTACAAACACAGCTTTTCATTTCACTAGATGTTGATTTATGGACTAGAGTTGTGTGGATTACATGTTGATTATTGTGATGTTTTTATCAGCTGCTCTCATTCTGATGGCACCCATTCACTGCAGAGGTTCCATTGGTGAGCAAGTGATGTAATGCTAAATTTCTCTGTTCCGATGAAGAAACAAACTCATCTACTGTACATCTTGGATGGCTTGAGGGTGAGTACATTTTCAGCAAATTTTTATTTTTGGATGAACTATCAGCATCAGCCATCAAAATGCTGCCTGGTCATTAAATTTACCACCTTAAATGTAAGAATTCAAAAGAAATATTTATGTTTGTAAGATGCCATATCTAGTTAACTCTTAAAAACATCAGCGTCTGTGTGTGATACAAAAAACCGACTATTCATTCACACAACTCACCAACTAGTACTGTAAATGATGAAATTGTGCTGTTAGTGAATATTCAATGTAGATAATGTCAGAGTGAAATAGGAGGTCAGAGAGATCTTGCATAATGTTTCTCTATGACTTCAATTCTGTGAAAAGGCATGTAGAGGCAATGGCGTCTATAAAAACAAGCCCGGTATGCTGAACACGTTCCAGTCAGAGGACAGACAGACAGAACAGAACCAGGTACCAACAACCAGATCCATGTCAATCTGGATGACCTATGACAGCACATCCATGTGAATAACGTGCGCTCCATTTCTGTGTCCTGATGATGCAAACAGCACTGACTGGAAGTGGGAAAGTGGGTGGCAAAGTGGTTTTGAAAGGGAGCCCAGAGGCCTAGAGAAACATCTTCAGACTTTACACTCTACTGTGAAACCGTAGACAAGCACGTCACTTCGCGTTTTTGGCAGAAACTGAGGTAAAGGTTACATTTTGCGTCTTAGACCCCGGGGATGTATAAATATTTGCTGAGCCCATGTTTGGTTGCATAGGGGATTAGGGAAGCCAATCTCTTTGCACGCTTCATTCCTGGACTCACGCCATTGAGACGGGATGCATCAAGGACGGCGTGCTGCAAAGTTCACAGTTATTGCACAGAGCGCCGCATACATGACTCTCGCCTGTATGCGGGACGGCTCTTACAAAGTGTGAAGTCACGAACACCACATGGGATTAATGTCAAATCAAGTGGCAATCATGTCACATCGGACAGGGCAAATGAATCAGTCAGGGTGCACATGTGCTCACAAAAATACCTGCATGCAGTGCAGCTCACATTCACAAATCTGCTCACACAGTTCACACGGGATGGAGAAAAGTGAAATGCAAGTGCAAAAGAAGGAAAGAAGTTTGAGTATTGCTCATTTTTAAATGTAAAATGTAAAGAAACTGTACCTATATATTTACATACACATACTACTTCACCTCATCATTACAGACTGCAAATTAATTGAATAACATTACTGCACATCGTTTTGTAAAGTACAAATTTACTTAACTAAATTAACTATAAAGGACATGAATCTGCTTTAACTCATTCTCCCCCATTGCTTACAATCTCCCTCTCACGGCTAATAAACATGAAGTTGCAAAACAAGACAATAAGAAGTTACAAATGGTTGGTGTGCATCAATGACGGGTGCTGTTATGTGACACTCACAACACAATCACATATTCCACCTCGCCACAACTCAGTTTATTATAACTGGTGAGAGATTTCAAATTTTCAAAATGGCTACTGCTCTTCTTGTCTCAAGTGTTTAGCCTCCTAGCATTAGCAAGAGAAAAATATATTTCTGTTCTAGAAACAGATTAGATTATGTTATGTGATGAATTGGACATATGCTTGAGAAACCTTGTCAAGCATTCTAAACAGCACAATTTTTTAATTAGAGTACCAGCTTACCAGCTTTTCGAAATGGCTCCTCTGGAGGCCAGTGATGTCACTTCCTATTTCCTAAACGTGTATAATATAAATAAAAGTGTATAATTAATTTTTTTAATTATATATTTAAGCTTGCAAAACACAATGTGTGCGTTTATGTGTGTGTGTGTGTGTGTGTGTGTGTGTTTAGTGCACTTAAAATAAGGACATAAATGGTTTTAGAACATTGCTTTATAGACAAATGAAAGCATGGAATATTATAGCATATTGTGCGAAGCAGAAAGGAGATTCTTGAGATGTCAAGGCGTGAACCAAGTGAGAATAAATAAACAAACAGGTGGAATGTTCAGGTCAGATTTCTACCAGCAGGTTTACTGCATGGCTGTAGAAAGACGTCCCTCATGGCTTATCATGCACAGTGTTAACTAAAGTGAAGAGAGGATGTTTTTCAACCCATTATCATCTGCCGAAACCAAGCTCCACCATGGATGTTAGGGGACTTTTTCATCTCTTATTTTGATGAGGGCTTGAAACATTTCACCTCTGCTTACTAAACTTCAGGGCAGCTCTCAGAACCTGCCGTGTTGCATCCACAACTGCGTGCAAGGTTTGTTGACATCCATTTACAGTTCACCATCAGTATTAATGTACATTAGACCAGCTAAAACCAACAAATCATCTCAGATTGGTTACAGCTGGTTTTTAGCAGGCTATTTGCCCACAACACCTCCCTGTTTAAAAAAACAGTATATGCTGGTTAGGTTTGTTTTGAAGCTGGGATGCTGGTTTGAGCTGGTTTATGCTGGTCCTTTGCTGGTTTATGCTGGTCCTTAGCTGGTCATGTGCTGGTCCTAAACTGGTCTGACCAGCTTGAGACCAGCACATGACCATCTAAGGACCAGTTTTAACCAGCATAAACCAGCATCCCAGCTTCAAAACATACCTAACCAGCATATGCTGTGTTTTTCAACAGGGCTGGCACTGTAATTGTAACTTTTGCACCAAAAAGTGGCCCTCACATTTTCTTCAGAAGTTGTTGAATTCCTTTGCAGACATTTGTCTGGTGTTGTTGTTCACATGCGTGCATCAACTTACCTGACTCCTCTCGTTGGATACTTACCAGTTCCTCTTCTGGTGTCCTCTCAGCTCTCTGGGTCCATCTCCACCTGCAACGACATATATGTTAATGCGTTTAGTCCCCTTAAAATGTAGATATAAATGGCATTTCTTTCTTTGTATCTGTTTTTCTCGCTGTCGCAGGATCAGAGATGGCAGGCTAACACTACTAAATGTGCCAGCATCAGTGAACTGTGATGTGACATTCTCACCAGACCACAAACACACACAGTGACATTCAACAGGGCATTTGCTATGTTTTTTTTTTTTAATGGTACATCGAATGACTAGCTGACAGTGCATTGTCTTATTAAAGAAAATTCAGATTCTATTGTGCTCCAAAACTGAATGACTGTCTTTAATTGTATACTTGCATTCTGAGAAAAAGAAACTACAATATAATGAATAAAGCACCACAGAGGAGAACCGCCAAGGTGTTTTTTGCCATGTTGCACAGTGTTATCTTCTGGGCCATCAGCGTGGTTTAGAGTGATGGCTTTAGTCCAGCGGAAAGAGGTTCTCCATAATCCTGGAGTGAGTTCAACTCGAGCATTACATAATGTTTGCAGGAATGTGCCAGAAGAAAACTGAGATCTGATTTGAGATCTGACTGAGATTTTAGGAGAGTTAAGCAGTTCGGTTCCAAAATGCAAATCATTGGATGTTTTAGCACAGTAACTTTGATGTAAGAATTTGGCTGGAATGCAAAAACAGCCTGTATAAATCTACACACATACTGAAATACAATGCACACTCAAACACATGCACGCATTTAAGAAGCCATGTATGTGTGTGGATTTTGCAAGCATTAACAAACCACATGTAAAGACACATTAAACAAACACATTTACCCTAATCATTCCTGTGAATTTCCTGTGAAAAATTTGCTGAAAAGGGATACTCGCCCTCAGGCAATCCAAGATGTAGACGTGTTTGTTTCTTCATCAGATTTGGAGAAATGTATCATTACATCACTTGCTCGCCAATGGATCCTCTGCAGTGAATGGGTGCCGTCAGAATGACTCCAGTCCATCAATTAATATCTTGTGAAGTGAAAAGCTGTGTGTTTTTTGTAAAACAAACCAATTAAGATATTTTTAACTTCAAATTGCTGCTTCCGGCTGAAGTGCTCTATCCATAATATTACTTTCTCCAGTGAAAGTCATTTTGTATGAATTGGGAGAGAAATATGCACAGATCAAGCACGGTTTCATTTGTAAACTGTTTACACTGTTTCATGCAACCTGTTGAGCTTCTAAGTGACAAATGAATTTGCAGTTTGAATAGACGCATGACCTGTGACACAAACAACACAAGAAAAGTTAGTTGTTTTCTACTCCTTTTAAACATTTGATAAGCTTAGAAAAATGATATGCTTTGTTGCATTTCATTTGTGCATTTAGCATTGTTTTTAGAGTACAGAAGTATAGAGCTATAAAATGAAAGGATATAGTAGCTCAGATCATTTGATGAGAAATGTTTGAGTTCATACTGAGACTTTGGTATCTTGGCAAATCAGAGCAATTAGACTTCAGTCAAGAGACAAATTTTTTAATATTCAACCATTTTATCTTATGATTTTCTTATTAAAAAATAAAAAATTAATATGACCTATTCAGCAAGGATGCAGTAAATCGATCAACATTTATAATGTTACAAAAGATTTATATTTCAAATAAATCGTTTTGAACTTTTTAGAAGATTTCTAGAAAAATGTATCACGATTTTCATAAAAATATGAAGCAGCACAACTGTTATCAACACAAGAAATGTTTCTTGAGCAGCAAATCAGCATATTAGAATGATTTCTGAAGGATCATGTGACACTGAAGACTGTAGTGATGATGCTGAAAATTCAGCTTTGATCACAGAAATAAATTATATTTTAAAATATATTGTAAATCTGTAAATCTGGAGTGTTTCACACTTATGAATTTAAAACACAATGTAAATCAGTTAGTAGTATGAGACAATAGTTTGTTAAATGAAGTCTTTTATTCTTTTATTATGAGATGTCTTCGAGAAATCATCCAGTGACAATGGCAACTGGATATATAATCCTGTTTATGTAATGTCACCTGGTACAGCACCAACATTTGTCATGCACTGGATGTTTGCTTCAAGGCCGAACGCTCTGGCATAAACCGGCTGGAGGTGTTTGCTCCTTACCATAGCAACAGAACCTGATCGCGCTGGCCACGCAGGAAGTGCTACAACAAGGACAACAGGAAGTGCCCTGGCTCCGTCGGCCAGGCTTCAAAGAATTCCAGGAAGTTATTGTACTGTGTGGAATGAGCACTGGAATGCAGTATGTCTGCGGAGCAGCGAGGTCCCCGGCCTGTTGTGAGTCACCAGGCGACGACTTTTGAAGATAACAGCCCTTTTTTTTCATGCATATGTGGCATAATACTGGCAGAGGCCTGTCTGGGTCCTCCATCGCCCTCACTGCGTTTCATCTTCACATGACACAGAACAGGGTTATTATCGTTAACTAAAACTTATTAAAAACATTCTTGTTACTTGAAATAAAGCTGAAAAAATAAAATATAAATATTAACTGAAAAACTTAAGCTAAATGAAAATTACAAATGAGTTCAACAAATAAATTGAAGTACTAACTACATTACTGGAAACTACAAAAAATAAATAAATAGTAGGCCTACTATTCGAAAAATAAATAAAAATTACAGAGGCACATAAGACACACACAAAAAAAAAATGTAATAAAATGTAAAACTAATATATAAATGTGTGTGTGTGTGGAAGAAATGTGTTATGGATATTGTATTTCTCTAAAATAAGCCATATTAGAAGCTTTTATAAAATAAAAGTCTAATTAAGGCTTTTAAGACAATTACAAGGTTGCTTGGCAACCATAAACAATCAAGCTCATGAACTTGGCAGTACAATATTTTATTGTCATTATAATTTTTAATAAAAATTAAAACAGATCTTTCACATTTTCTAAAGGAAACATTAATGGCTATTGTGATGTTAGGGTGTTGTGGCTGGTTGTCAGGGTGTTGCTATGTGTTCTGACTGAGTGCCTCTGCAGTACATATTCAGTTGCAATGATGTTCTAGGTCAGGGGTGGCGAACTGGAGAGCTGCAGCCCTGCAGAGTTCAGCTCCAACCCTAATTAAAACTCACCTGTCTGTAGCTTCCTAGTAACCCTTCAGACCTTGATTAGCTTGTTCAGGTGTGTTTGATTAGGGTTGAAGCAAAACTCTGCAGGGCTGCGGCTCTCCAGGGCTGCGTTCCAGTCCGTTTTTTTATGCCCTTCACTGGCAAACTTCCCTCCGTCTCGTTTACTCGGATGTACGTCATTGATTACGTTGCAGGAGTGCCCACTTCTGGCGGAACACCTTGGAATGGGCTGAACTGGAACGTCCTAAGCCCTTGATCACTTAGAAGCAAACTCGCTCCCTCGGTCAAAATCGAGGGGTCGAGGGTCTGTCCATATAAACTTCCCTCCTCCACTTCAAGAAGTGGAATGCACTTCAAAATGGCAGACCGGATTCTCCCGAGGGGAAGTGCTTAGGGAAGTTCGCGAGTGCATGTCTAAAAGTGGAGTGGAACGCAGCCCAGGACTGACGTTCGCCACCCCTGTTCTAGGTGGTTGTTTACTGGATGCGTCCATTTTAATATGTGCAAAATCCAATTGCTTAGAAAAGTATTACAGTATGCTAGTAACGTGCTGAAATTGCTTTGCTTTGTTCTTCTAGAGGAATTGTATGTTTCTTAGGAAGCTCAAATGCTTCTTAATTTGTAAAAAGAGAAGTGAGTCAGAAGGGCATAAATGCATCATCATATCCTGTTTGTTAAATGGGTGTAAAAAACTGTGTGGGCTTGAATAAATATGCAACCAATTAAATTTTTTTCCACTAACATCAGCATTAACAGGAACTGAAGGGCATTTCAGTGTCTTTCTGCTAATATGCACCAATAATTTACTACT